GATGGATATGCAGTTTTAAAAATACTTTACATTGGAATTCTGCCTGCAAAAATCAAGTTTGTGAGCAGGACAACATCTTTTTGCACACATACTATGTCTCCCTGCAAGCCAATTTTCTTACTTTACTGGTCACAGACCTCTTTACAGTGTACACTGAGCTGCACATACCTTGGTGAGGAAAAAACTAATTCATGTGTGCATGCATGGAGTTTGCATAATTTCAGGTCAGTCAAGATGACTGATGATGCCCAACTCAAAATAAGACTGGGCAAAGACATCAGCAGGGATAAGGGGGCTTTTGAATGTTGTATTGTTTGAGTGGAGAGTATGGCAAACTTTAGTTCAGCCCTAAAAAAAGTAATTTTTTTAACAAAGGTCATATTAATAAAGGTCAGCTATTGTAAGCCCCCATGCCAGTGTAATATGATTTATCCCAAGTGTAATTGCCACTTTGCTTGGTTGCTTGGTAAACAGGTATAAAAAAACTATGTTACAGGAAAAACAAAAGAGCACAAAGAAGAGGAAGGATTAAACTGTATATTAAAAACTGAATCTCCACTCTGAAGGCTGGTTCACAGCTTTGTCCAAGGCAGTGTTAATGCAAAGTCAAGGCAAAGGTAAAAGTTGCCTTCATCATTCTATCTCAGTGCATTGCATTACACATACTGCAATGCATCCCAGTACACATTATCCCCTATTTTTTCCCCAGGTATACATCTCTCTGCTCTTTTTTACGGATTTCAGTAGGTAGACCTAATTAAAATATCACCCCCCCCCCTCTTGGTTTTAACTGTCAGCTATTTCATTACATTTCCACAGCTAAAGCATGAGAAAGGTGTATTTATTTGCTTTGTAACTATTTGTAGACCACATTAAGGAATAGTTTGTTTGTCTAGACTACTCTTATGGGTAACTAACTTTGTAAGGTGACAATACTCACACATCTTGGGGCAAATTATTAAAGCAGCAAATGTGACTTTTATCAAACTTTTTTTTATGGGGAATCAATCACTCTCATTTACACCACAAGCACCAGGATGATTCAACTGCAGTGAATGTTTAGTGAGTGAAAGTGAGTGATTCACTGCTTAATAAATATGTGCCTTTGAAAAATTCACCCTCTCCTCTTCTCTGTTTCATAGGGTATATATTGCAAAAAAAGATATTTTAAAACACTACCTTTTGTTTTGTAATGTATGGCCCTATGAATGATACAGAACAGAACCAATACAGAACCAATCATCAAGACAATATTTTCTGCATTTTTTTTATTTAGAAACAGAAAGTACATTTTTGGCATAGATAAGCACAAGCTGAAAACAATTTCCAGGAATCAAACCAATTAAGCAAACTGTCCCTGCCAGGTAACTTGGCCTAGTCATTTTATCTTGAACAGTTAATGCATCTATGATCTCTAAACAGGTGTCCAACTGAGCTGTTAGAGGACCAGTGCATGAGCTGAACTGTTTCAGGCTGTAGTGGAAAATATCCTCAAATTCATATCCATCCTTATTCTTAACAAAATTGTGAAGAACACAAGGTTTTACATTGTTGTTAGCGTTCCCAGGGGCAGATTACAACACCTTCCATTTGTCAGCCAGATTGCCAAATGTGTATTTCACCCTTTTTTGTGCATTGAATAGTCTATAAATTAAGATACACTTTGGGTGGCTCAGGCCTCTCTGTGCATAAGGCCTTGCTAACTGTTTCCCCAGAGCAAAGGGCTTTCATCCACAAATGTGAATATGTATACCAATTCTGTTGTACCAAGCCAGGGCCTTTCAGGAGAAATATTTAGTTCATGTTTTTAGGACCCTTTATTGATATACTTAAACTTGTGGTCTACTTCTATTATGGCCAGTAACACATGGGAAATACTTCTTGTAGTTGAAGTATTTGCTTCCAGTACATGGTTACATCATCATTATATGTTTCCAATCAAATGCCCCTAAGCGTTTGGTAAAATTGGTGCATTGCCAGGAAAGGTCAACAATCTCTCTCCATCTTGCTTGTGTGGGAATGGGCATGAACCTTTTCCACAAGGCTCTGCATATTCATTGCATAGTGTAGTAGATTTAGCCCAAATAAAATTCAGAATGCATACATGCATATAAATGTCCAATAGCCAGAAACCTGCAAAGAAAAAAAACATTTTGGGCACTTCAGGCAGTCAGAACAAAATCCATGATACCATTTTTCTGTCTCCACTCTGATTCCACTCTTAAAAAGAAGTATCTGAAATCAGAGATGTAGCCATGAGACCTGACATGCTTTAGCTCATTACTGAATTTTGTATTCTGCAGTTCCAGATGTGTCCTCAGGATCCAGCAGATTGTCAAAGCTGTGCAATAAAATAAAGGGTTAAAATGAATAATTAAAGGGAAAAAATTTAATGAAATATATATATATATATATATATAATATATATATAGATATATATACATACACACACACACACAAACAATGCTACATTCACAAATACATTGGGGTGAGGAATGTTGAAGGTCATAGATGGTTTATGGGGCAGAAACTTTACACCACAACCCTCCATATTAAATGATATGCAAGGCTGTGGTGTGTGGTACACTGTAGTATGTAGTGGATTATGCATGATCCAGGCATAAAATAAAACAGATATTAAATGAACGTACCTTTCAACAGACTTCCAGGTGAAGTGAAAATATACATCAGGGTATCCTCTTAGAACTTGATATAAAGGTCCAAAACTGTTTTAAGGAGAAAAATAACTGCAGTCCAGGATAAAAGCTATCTTTAGAGTTTATTGAACAATCCTGCGCAACTCTGCAATGTGTTTCACTGACGATAAGTTTATTGCTAGTGAAATACAGTAAGTTAGAGGGTGGAGTTCTGGTGGCCTGTATTGCACTGGATTGTTCAATTAACTTTGAACAATTAATTTATTCTTTCAATTATTGTGTTTTTGGTGGAGAATGAGCCACTTTTGGAGTTGGCATCCAGGCCTGAGATTGTGCTGACAGGCAGACAGACAGCAGAGTGTTGGATTCCTTTATTATGTCCCAAACTGTAATTTGCTTTCTCATTCAGTCAACAAAGTATGAAGTGATTTTGATGCTTCATCCACCTTAGAATGGCAATTGCCAGCACAACAATACCAATAGGAGCTGATGTTGCCAATAGCTTGCAATTAATCTCCACAGCATGTAAAAGGAATCTTCTCTTCACAGAACATTTTTCTCTCCACAACACTCAATCAGTAACCATAAGCAAAGCGATGTTGCAATGTTTTACAAGTACGTCAACACATGGCAACGAATGCGTGCACTGTGGTGTAAATTCACACTGAATTAACCATATCAAACATAGCTCTACAAAAAAAAATCAAGACAAGGGGAAAAAAAAATAAAAAACTTATTGCTACAAATGTATACTGTATATTACTGTGTTTGATACCCTTAAAATGTACTTTGATATATTATATCATATATATAATATATTGAAAAAAAATATAATTTTATATATATATATATATATATATATATATATATATATAGTAACATTATGAAAGGTGACGTGATTGAGGGGCGCTATGTTTCACTTCGCATGCTTTCATATGCAGGACACTAAGATGGAGTCTGGTTCAGTTTTTCTGGGCTATCTTGACTGTGCTGGTTTCGAACCAACTTTTCCTTTCCACTTGTGACCACCAGCAGGTGGTATAAATAAAGTAGGACTGGAGGTTGCTCTTGGCCTGGGACTCAGGAAGCCATACCTGAGAGAGAGCTGTGGATGTGAAAGTTTGCTTTGTATAAGAAAGGAAAAGGTTTGCACAATGTTTGGTTTGGTTTGTTACTGGGAGAAGCCCTTCACCTGTGAGATAGGAATCTCTGCTGTTTAGTTAGAGCCGGATGGCAAGGATTTATTTTCTGTTTTATTTTGTTTATTTCCATGCAACCTTTTTAATTAAACTTTTTAGCCCTGGTTCACATATATGCGGCCGTGTGGGCCACGTTTTGTATGGGCATGAGAGCCCATTCATTTGAATGGACTCCCATGAGCCGTGACAAACAGGGAAGAAGTCCCTGCACTTCTTCTGAAAATGCAGCCCACACGGGAACCTCGGTTCCCAGTACGGTTGCGTTTTCCATTGCGAGCGGCGTCCATATTCATCTGTGCAGGATATTCATGCCGATCCACTGTGGCACCACCCACACATATGTGAACCAAGCCTTAAGAAAGACCTGCCGTCTGGACTGCCTTTTTCCCAGGGAAGGTGATCCCTAGCTGAGCTAACCCCCTAAAATATATATATATATAAATATATATATATATATATATATATATACTCATTAAATTAAAATTGTAGGGCTTTCTTTGATTATTTTTAGCTTTGATTTTGTTATTCTATACAGTATAACATTTTAATTCTAAAACTTTTTTTTTTTTTTTAAACAAAAAAGGTTTTTTTTTATTGCTGTCTCCATACCTGCATACCTGCTGGGGAGATTCATCCTCTCTAATTGTCCTGGTGATTTTTGTTTTGGAGGCCACTGTGACCATTCAAACCCAGTTATCATTTGGTCAGAAATAGAGGGGAAATCTCTCTGTTCTGGAGAGGATTCTTCTTTAGATATACTTTAATTTAGTTCTGGTATGGCTATTTAAAATACAGGAATTTCTGGTAAAAATAGCTTCTATATTTTTTACATTATCTTGGAATTTTCAATATGCAAAGTACTTATTAAAAATGCATAAAAATGTCAGCTTATGCATTAGGTACTGCACATTAATTAATCATAGTGGCTACACAGTTTGTGCTAGGCTATTTTTATTTAAACTCTAAAGTCAAAATGTTATATTTTAATATGATTACTAAATATAAATTGTACATTCACTGAGAAAGTAATGAACAGACATTCTGTATGCACCTTGTACATGTTAGACTCTATTAACAGTTTCCAGAGCTTTTGGTAATCCACTAAAACGAGAGTAAAAACTAATTTACATTTTATAATACTCACCAGAGAACATCATTAGGTGTTGTTAGATCAAATGCACAACTTTCCAACCCGTCCTTGAACTGAATGACCTTTGAATAGACCCAGACAGGGAACACAACAACAAAAGATGCTGCCCATAGAAGGATATTTACACGGATAGTCTTTGATATTGTCCTCAAGCTTGTTAGACGAAATGGCTGTACAAGAGCCATGTACCTGTAACATTAAACAATGTAATTAGTAATATAATTCAATAATAATGGATACACTCTTCCAAGCAAGTGCCTCTCAAAATGCAGGTAATTTTTTTATCTAAAAACATATTTATATTGGGTACAATATGTTTTAAGCACCGTACCACATGTCAAAGCAACAGCATGAGCAAAAAATGATCGAGCATTAGCTAGATAACTACTCTTGTTTTTTAAATTTGCTTTCAATGATGTCACAGAGTGCTCCAGGTTCTCAGAGATCTTTCCAGCTATTAGAGTAGCCTAGCTGTTAGAAAGATCCTGAAAGTGTCATAGAAGAAGGCTATGTTCCTGCAGGACACAATCAACCTTTCAGAGCAAAAAAGGTGATTGTCACTCGACAGTTGACAGGGCTTAAATTTCTTGTGCCAATGCAGCTGCCATCACCCACCCAGGGCAATGACAGACAATCCATTTAGTAAAACGTTAGGGAAGATTTTGATAACTGTTTGATTTTATTCTGTCAAGTGACACTTTTTTTTTAAATTCAATTTAGTAATTCATATCTCTCTTCAAATTTATTAAAGTGTATCTAAACTCAAAAATCACAAAAATATTGGCAAGCACACAAAATTTAGTAAAGACACATGGTGAAAACTTGGACAAAATGTTGGGTCCTGCTCCATACCCTCTTTTAGTGATAGTGTAATATGTGTAAGAAGTGCAGAAAGAGGAACAGATTCTCCTTAATGCAGAGTTAAAATATTCTTACATGAAAAAGTGCCAAGATGGATGCAAATTTAAAATAATAAGCCTTAACTAGATCCTCAAGGGCCCTGACTTTTCCCTGTTACTGTGACTCTAATTGTGAATTCTGCTTCAGTCGATGAGATATTACTGTTGCGGTAATATGACATGCTGGTAGGTTATTTGGCTCTTGTCTTAATTGGCCCTAGTATGTGTATGTATGAATGTAAGTTAGGGACCTTAAATTGCACACATATTGAGGGTTAGGAACTGATGTGAATGTACAATATATATGTATGTAAAACGCTGCCTAAATTGACGGCACTATACAAGTACCTAAAATAAATAATTTCCTTTACCATAGGAAGTTTTGGTTGCCCTAATGTATTAAGGGATTTTAAAGCAGTCTCTAAATCCTAACTATGTGTAGTTTGGTTCAACTACTTTGTTGCCAGAGGGTGAAGTCATCTGGTAAATATATATTTTGTCTGCTCTTTTTTATAAGAGCCCTTGCCTACATACACCCACACTTACAGTATTGCCATGTTCATTTCAGAGCTTCTATGAATTAAAATTATGACTGATGGTTTCTATTATTTCAATTATGACCTGAATTCTGAAGCACATACCATAGTTTCTCAATGAGTTGGACAGAGTAGACTTTTGATAAACCACACCATCATAGGCGTGACATTTTCTTTGTTTTAACTAAAAAGACTCTGAAAATCTGCTGAGACTTACCTGTACATTGGCTGAGGACATCCAGGTTTGCGGGTGCATGATTTTGTCAGCAGGTCCCAGTCAATGATTTATTGCTGAGACCTGCTGATCGGCTCTTTCCAATCACAGCTGTATAAAAAACACACATAAACTCGGCGCTCACAGTCTGATGTAGTTTTTATAGTCCACAATGAAATAGTTGCTAAGAAAAGAACTAAGATGACCCGCTAAAAATATTGAAATAAATTTATACAGTTCATTAGGCACGTGTCCAAAGGAGAAGTTTCCGTGGAGGTCCACAGGTCCAGCAGATATGATGGGATGGATGAGTCACTGGAGGGATCAGTAGAGTGAAAAGACGGTCAACTCCGCAGCACCTCAGCATTGGCAGATCAGGGAGAGACCCATTTCAACATATACAGGAAACAAATTTGCCAAGAGTGCAAGAGTTAATAAAAACATTATTAAACCAAATTTCCATACATTACATTCAAGGCAGGTGAAGTTCAGCTTGGATGTGGAGATGTTAGCATGCAAGGATGAATGGACAGAGCTGCCAAGAACAAGCCTCTGTCTGCATGAGAAGCCGGACCCGTCAGATGACAACCCAGTAGCAGTGTTCATGACCATCCTCAATATCCAAGACAGGCACAGATATTGTGGCAGACAAAATGGGGTTTATTTACTAAAGCTGGAGAGTCCAAAATCAGACTCCCTTCTGCATAGAAACCAATCAGCTTCTAACCTCAGCTTGTTCAATGAAGCTTTGGCAATGAAACCTGGAAGCTGATTGGTTTCTATGCAGAAGGGAGTCTGATTTTGGACTCTCCAGCTTTAGTAAATAAACCCCAATGTGTTTCCGATGCTCTGCCTCAAGTGCCCGAATATTGGAAAAGACTGGATTTTAAGCCAGCGAGTGAAACACAGAGACTGGCAGATTGTCAGTGAGTACAGAGTAAGACCTCATGCACACAGGGCATTTTTGCAGCCACTTTTAGAGGCATCAGGCTTTTTATAAATACTTGTAAATGACCCTCCATGCTATCCTATGCACCCATGTACACATAGATTTTTCAGAGCTTTTAGTGGCAGGAGCATTTACAGGCAGGAAAAAACCCAGGGCCAGTGCATCTAGGAGCAGCAGCTTTTTGGCAGAAAAAAATGGTTGAAAAATGTAAACACATCTAAATACGTGTTAGCACTAGCTAGGCGTGTTTAGCGCTTGAGTGTGAATTCATTTCAATGGGCATAATGAATTATTATTCTGGACAGTTAAAATAAATTAACACCCAAGTGCTTGATGCCTGTAAATGTGCCTAAATGCTTGTAAAAATGTTAGATACTTTTACAAGCGTAAGGCTTTTTTTCTGTAAAACCACTGCTGCCAGGAGGAAGGATTCTAGGAGAGTTTTTGTTTTCTAATGTCCTGTGTGCATTAGGACTAAATAGCCTGCTCCAGATGACAGCTCTCACAGAGCTGCCTAAAACGTGTCGAACTACAAAGACTAGCCAGGGTATCAGCGGCACATCTAAAACAGAGCATCTTGAAATATTGCAGAAAATTGTTGCAAACAGTAACATAAGCATATGGTAAAAGATTAGATGGGATTATCTTAAGAAGGAGAAACTACCACAATTGATTAAGAAATTTATAACCTTTTCCATGTTTACAACAATTCACTATAATGTTTCAGGATGCTCTGTTTTAGATGTGCCCCTCATACTGTGGCTGGTCTTCATAGTTTCACAAGTTTTAGGTGGCTCTGTGAGAGCTGTCATCTGGAGTAGGCTGCCAGTCTCTATGTGTTTCAGACTCCGGCTTAAAAGTTGGTATTTTCCAACATTCGGGCCCGTGAAAAAGGAGGCAGAGTCTCTGAAATGTGCTGTACATGCCCATTCCATGCTCACAGTGCCTGAACATTGAGGATGGACGTGAACGCTGTCAATGGTTTGTCATCTGGTGGGTCCAGCTTCTCATGCTGACATCAGCTTGGTTTTGGCAGCTCTGTTCATTCATCCTTGCATTCTGACATCTCCTCCATTTCCAAACTGCACTTTACCTGCCTTGAATGCAAGTGTGGATATTTTTGTATCAATGTTTTTATTAACTCCTGCACCCTTGGCTACTTTGTTTCCTCTGCATGTGTCCAATCACAGCAGAGCCATGTGTTTATAATCACATAGGGCTCTGTACACTGATCAGCAATTTAGATGTTTCTTTTCCCTGCAAGGCAGGGAGAAAAAAAAACAGCCAGACAGAAAAGCAAAAGCAGCACACATTGCACATTCTAAGGCACATATTTAACCCCTTGATTGCCCCTCAATAATAACCCTTCCCTGCCAGTGCCATTAGTACAGTGTCAGTGTACAGTATTATCACTGATCACTGTATTAATGTCACTAATAATGTCAGTGCCAGTTAGTGACATTCCCATATAGTATCTGTTAGTGCCAACCTATCACAGTCCCACTATAAATCGCTGATCACTGCTATTACAGTATAGCGTCTACAGCTGCATAAATTCCAGTATACAGTATATACCATAGTTTATAGACAGTATAACTTTCGCACAAATCTATTGGGATTTTTTTTTTACCAAAGACATGTAGCACAATACATTTTAGCCTAAATTTATGATGACATTTTATGTTTGTATTTTTTATATGGATGTGTTTTTAAAACAGAAAGTAGAAAATATTGGGGTTTTTTCAAAGTTTTCGTTCTTTTTTAATTTATATTGCAAAAAATAAAAAATCCAGTGGTGATCAAATACCACCAAAAAAAGTCCTATTTGTGTGATGCTAAAAATTTCATTTGACTACAGTTTTGCATTTCTGCGCAATTGACAGTTAAATTAGCACAGTGCTGAACAGCAAAAAAAATGCTGTGGTCATGAAGGGAGTAAAACTTTCTGGAGGCCAAAAGGTTAACTTGAAACTATTATATGATTACAACGCCTTGTACATAACAAACACTAACCAGTGTTATATGGGGAAAAGTACTGAAGATATTACTTTCTGCTTACCTAATTAGCAGAGAACAAACCTAAATCTATCTAGTCAACTGCTTGTCATTGTTTTCCAAGAAAAGTACACAAGAGACCACCGAATAAACAACCAGAAAAATAAACCTCTACAGATGAGAATTAAACTGTATTTATTTCAATATTATTAGAACAACATAATTCAAACTTCATAGATTCTATTACAAATAACAACTTAAATATTAAGACACCTTTCAATATACTGAAAAAAAAAATATTATATATATATATACAGATATATATATATATATATATATATATATATATATATATATATATATATATATATATATATATCTTAATCATTTACAAAAGGACACAATCACGATAAAATAACCATGTTTTTGTTTGATTGTAATTATTATCATAAGATGTCTGTTTTTTTAATTTAGACAAGCTCAGAAGTATTATGGAAACGGTATAAGTATGTACAAAATATTTTAGGAAGTATTTTAACATGGATGGCTGTTTAAAAAATATTACATCCCTTCAGCCAAGGTTTCATGTTTATGCT